ATCGGTGGGCGGGGCATGACCAAAGTGGGCGGAGTTTGCGACGAAAATTCATAACTCGGCTCCAAGAAGTCCAGGAGGCTGGGAAAAAGGGAGTAGAGGTCGGCGAAGGAAAGAGGTCGCTATTATTGGGAAATAGAGCTCAACTGCCACAAGTGGGTAGAGCACGCACCTAAGTGGGCGGAGTTTGCCAAAAGTGTCGTAATTTGGTTCCAAGAGGTCCCAGAGACCGGTGAAAAAGGGGGTAGAGGTCGGCGAAAAGGAAGGGAGCCAAATGCTATTGGTGGGCAGGGCACGCACCGAAGTAGACGGAGTTCGCCACGAGATTTATTGTCCGGAAGCAGTCCGGAGACCGAGAAAAGAGGATAATGGTTGACGAAGAAAAAAAGGTTGAAAGCCGTCGATGATGGAGCGGATTGAATTTAGCTGAGAATTCAGATATTCGTAGTGTATCAAGCCAAATTATGAAAATTTTCGTCGCACCATCAAAATTCGCCAGCAGATCTGTGTTGCGCGCGCAATGCGTGCGGCGCCAACTGGTTAGAATGATTGTATTAACGAAAGCCGATGACAAAGCAGTAAATTCTCATGGTTCGCCAATACCAATAATGGAGCGTTCAGAGTTGGCGATCGTACGTGTGATTAGGCGAGTACACTATCTCTTGATGGGCGGAGCAACAAACGAATACGTATCCTTCTCTTGTCGCCTACTCGCCAACTCGCCTGAGCGACTACTCGCGTGCTTCCTACTCTCGCCTGATCGATACGTATACATTTCTTTTTTTAAATCATCGCGTAATCGCCTAACGATCACCAACTATGGACGCTCCACATTAAACATCACGGTTCTCGTAAAAACTGCCTTCTAGCAGCAGAATGAGCTTTGGATAATTGATATAATTAACTTGGGGCTTCTATATTAGCCGTAAGACAAGGTACCATGCATTGAATGTTAGAATGCTTTAGCGTGTCATAGCACAGCCGATTACGATTGTGAGTGGGCCCTCACCCTGAACGTTCTCGAAAGATTTTTTCCTTTTTTCTCCACTGCTTGCCCATTTAGTTCCAATACTGTTACGTAATCGTGTGCAAAAACACACCATGTCGACCCGAGGCATGCCTTCGAGAGAGGGTATTTTTCGTCCTTCTTGTGTGTCCCACTGTGATTCCCACAATCGCTTGACTCTGGGTCGGGAAGACAAGAGACTTGTTGGAGTAGGGTGTGTAAACACCATGTTTCGAATAGAGTTGGAACAATGCATTTACGTAGAAGGCAGTTCTGCAGAAACCCAAACCATTGAAATTAATAAGCCACCTTCGTTTTGAAGTGCACTAAAAGTAATACTGCAAATGATGGTTGCAATTTCTGTTTATCCTTGTCTTTCAAGGCAGCAAGGAATGAATCAGCTGCATGAATCCATCCGAAACATCTCCCAGTCGAGGAGAAGTATGTATCCACCCCGATGATTCAAAGGCAAGCTCCGGTATAAAATGGTGTAAGAGCGCTTCGTAGTGATGACTGAGCAGCGGGACGGCCTGAAGTGGGGAAAGGAAGCTAGAGAAAATCTTTGGGATCGTTGAAATTAAGGCCTTAACCTTCAAAAAAAACGGATGTGGAACGATGGCAAAGCAGGACGGTCAAAGAAAACGAAACACGCCAAGGATCACGCTGTTCGAGAGCGTACGCAGACAACGAGGTAGGAGGGAAGCGTTGCAACTGGGATCGACGGTTGCAGGCCTAAGGATAGTGCTCTAAACGCGCAACTTTGTTGCGAGGTTGGAGTGATCTAAGTAAGTAGGGACCTTACAATTTCCATCGCGTTATCCTTCCCACAAGTCGAGCTAACCCCATGGTTTGCCTCTAAGTGGAAATGTTACACAAGCTATTTATCCTTGCCCAGGTGTATTTTCAATTTTTCAATAATTTCTTTTCCTCAACAACTGCAAATCATCCTAAGCTTAAATTCAGAGCTGCCGCATTGGGTATTGTCAAATGCCCAAAGGTCGGAAGACATGTGTGTGCGAACGCTGTCCAAGTGGTGCAACTAAACGGCTTGATGAATTGATCTAGGGATGAGTGTTGTCCTACATCTATTAGCAAGTAAATGTTATGCAGTCAATATTGTTGTATTGTGTTGTACGTGTAGGGAGAAAAATAAGGCTTGCTGGACACAATTGAGACTCCACTCAGCCTACCGTTTGCAGATCATGTGGACAGTAATACTAGTAGTACCAATTACCAATACCTCGATTTCACCTGAACTTTCCGTATTCTCTGAGGACGAACCTTTTCATTTTTTTCCAAGTACATTCTCTCAAGAAGCACTTACAAACATTTAACTGCCAATTAATCTCAAATTTTACAGCTGAGGAAAGCTAAAATTGTTACCCGACATATCATGGTTACGAAATACTATAAATCCAAGTGGGCGGAGTGTTTTGGCCCCGATCTTGTTTATTGTATATTTTATGCGGCTGGCGGGGCGCGCGCTACGACACACAGGAAACAAATTAAGGGCTGGAGCCGGTCGGCAGAAAGAGTGTCAGAAGACTGTCAAATTTTTTGTTCCTCACGAGGTTGTTTGATGGAACATTCATTTTAATGGCCTGACGTCGGTTACACCGTATGAGCGGAAAAAATCCCTGCCACCTAGAGCCAGCTGGAAACTTCAACTGACTAGCGCTCTGGTGATCAAGCTGATGCGACACGCATTCCGCCTCCACCTGTACATTCGTAGTGACACTTGAGTGCGATTTGGCCTAAACCATGACTTTCGGGGGGCCAATCATGCTGCAACAAGTCCAGTGATGCTACCTCGCAGACAAAGTCTCTACCAATCAACCGATCTCGAAGAGATGAAAGGCTTGGTTACCCCAGATGACGCACGACCCTGGGTTCAATCCCCGGGCCGCGCGCGTGGTAACCAGCGCCGCTTCCCACTACACCACTTCCGCCCAGTAGTTGGTTGGTTTTATGTTAATTGTAAGCCAGATAAATTTGACAAAACCATGACAGTGATAGAAGAGAGAATTCAACTAACAAGGAAAGCGAAGCATAAAAACAGAAGAACTCAATATACCGAGGAATCATGCAAAAAAATGTTACTTACATATGCTAAGATACAGCTTAAGAACGCAGAGTATGAGGAGAGAAACGATTCATCACCAGCTTGCCCAAAAACCAAATCTGAACTTTATTAGTTTATGTTGGAGGGTACTATGAACGCACGAAATTTGGCCTCAAATTTGGCCTTTGTACCTCTGAACTTACTGTGGGCGCATTCCCAATTGCATAGCAAGAGATGCATGTAATAGCAACACTCCTATGCTCTACCCTATATGGCCCACATATTGCACACGCCTGCATTGGTGGGCCCCGGCTTTCACAAGGCCAATAGGTTCTTGCCACCGCAAAGGTTGAAACATAGGTTCGACCGCCATCGTAGGAACGGCACGGGAGTGCATTACAGAACCTCTAAAGGACGCGACAGTAGTGAGCAGCATGCTTTACTTCCGTATATGAACAATAAAAAGGAATTCTTTTTAGAAGTTTCTTGTATTTATTCCATGGAAGACTTGACGTAGCTACAAACATAGTGGCCCATAGAATGGTCACGTATGCTTCAATTTAGAGGAGGATTTCTGAACCATACGAAATCTTCAGTTTAATAAATTTTTCGTTTACTTTTCTTTTTATGAATGTGAAGGTTTAAATAGTATTAGAAGTACCATAGAATTGTTCTGTCCCGAAGTCTCATGTTGATCTAAATGTGTAATAAACAATGTGAGACTTCAAAATTTATTGCAAAAGACTCAAAACTTTCTACAAAAGAAATTGCAAAAATGTGTGTTTGCAAAAGTTTTGCAAAAGCTTAGGTCTTTTTTGGCGAGCTTTCGGCGCTTAGCGCCTTTGTCGAGCCTGAAATGAAAAATTAGAAGCTTTCTTAAAGTCTGTTAATATATTAAAATATATTAACTGACCCACCTGCTGTCCACTCTCAAAAGTGTAACACTTACCACCCTTGTTGGTCTGTGAAGCAGGAACTATTCCCTACCCTAGACTTACCCTTAAATAGCGTTGACGTGCTACGACCGTTATTTCCCAAAATATCGCATTCATTCCACAGTGATGATAACTGCAGTCATGCGATGAGTTGAAGAGAGTCACGTAACTCGTCTCTGCTATTTATTTCCGGGGCTAGTCTTTTTATTTCCAGAGCCTCCAGTATTTTGCGTTCGCCTCCAGTATTTGAATAGATACGAAACCTTAGGGATGAATATGTGTGTTTTGATTGAAATAATCAACGTAAAATTGCTTTTGAGGTCCATTGCAGCTAGTTCTGAAAATTTCGCTTTTTCATTGTTATTCCATGTCTTTCGATCGAAATTCCACTACTGTACCCCTGGGTAGGTTGTGCTCATTATAATTTAGTTTTGCATTAATCACTGTTTATCGCCAAATCGCCCCTGTCCCACGTGGCCAAAAAAGCTAAATCTCGCATTGTCGTCAACGTTTTAACAACACAATGCATGGACCTGGAGCTTCCGATTTTTTTTTGAAGTAAAGGTTGCCAAATCATGCAAAACCAATAACTCGCCCTTGAACCAGAACACCGAGAAGATGCTCACGTCAGGCGTGGGTAGAAAAACTGATGCCGCATACCACGCGCACAGTAATAGGGCCATGTCTTGAAACACGTGTTGCCTACAAGCCAAGCCTTTCGTTGCCGGTTCACTGGCACCAGACCCGTTCGGGGGGATAATAGCAGTGAAAGAACAACAGAATGAAAGTGGTGGCGCATCTCACAAAATGCGATCAATGAACATCGATTCCTGCATGCTTTGACAAGCTCTTCTGAACCTCTACAGTGATGACTTTCAAAGTTAAACATTTATATACAACATAAGGCCGATGTCAGACTTTGCGAATCGCGCGGTTCGCAAAGTCTGACATCGGCCTAACATAGATATCGGCCTGTTCTACTGCACATTCCTACGACAAGTTACAGTTTTGCTTTATCCCTGATTGCTTGATCGACGAGAGCAGCAGCACGAAGAGCACTTCCCCAACCAACGGTAAAGCCGTGGCCACCATGTCCATAGTGGTGAACTAACTGTAAGCCAGAATAATTATATTGATGAAGATCTTTTCCACACAGTAATGACCTCTTGTATTCACTCAAAATGAACGTCTTCCAAAGACCTGACTTGACCTTGTTTCGGCCATAAGCATCAGAATAACTTGGATTGCTTGGAAGAGTTCAATCCGGATTGATGCAAAGCCCTCACCAAATGGTGGAAATGAAGAACTGTACCATTTTGCTGTAAAGATTGAAAGCACTGGAGAGTAATTTACCGTATACTTCTTTCCGGTTTTCGTCAATTTCTTCTGAATCTCCACTCGTATAGACGCTCTTGCCGGTCGTAGACCACACCATTCGCTTAGGATTTTTGCTCCCTAAAAATTCTGCACTGCTACCGATGCAGAGTATTCAGCGATTCTATGTGAACGCTCCACAAAACCTACGAGCAATGAATTCACTTGGCGCTGAGTTAGTTGTTTACGTGTTGTATCCATTGTGGTAAAGTAAGCAAAAAACGGTGCTAAGTGGGTTGG